TAATAAGAAAGAATTATGACATAATCAGAGATAGATGATGAGAAGTAGTGGAATCCAGGACACGTCACATTTGGGACTCATCAGTTGGATATACCTGCATCTCATATATGATGTCCACTCTGGGACTTGAACTGAGAACCGTTCTACTCAAACGCCATTAAGTTATCCACTGAGCTACTGAACCCAGATAGTTACTAGCTTGTTCAGTGGAGTGAAGTATTAATTCATTTCTGCATTGATTGCTTGAGAAACTGATCAATGGCAGTTCTAAATATTAATGGAAGGGTTCAAACAACCAATACAAAAATGAATATAGACAGATCACTTTCCAGAGAAATCATTTACAATGTCATAATAATAGTTTGTAATGTAATCTGATAGCAGTGATCTTAATTTCTTAAATATAACAACAGAAGGATTAAGATAATGAGAATGTACAAACGTCTCATAGAATATTTAAAAATAGTAGAATATCTGAGCGAACAGTTGTCTGAGGATCATTTCTTTTTCAAATCCTTAGATATTCTTGTTTCATTTCCTCACCCTTTTTCCTCTTTCAAGCTCTGATCACCACACAGAGGGCAGGTAGCAAACCGTCAGCTATAGTTGTGGAAGAAATTAAATGCCACAAAGTTAGATAACAAGTTAGTAAACGAAGAGACATTCATGAACTATCGTTGATTGTTGATGGAGTTAGTCGTCATCTATTGGAAGTCAAACACTGAGAGAGTTGGTAATTCTCCCTTGGGTTGTGGAAACAGAACGTAGGTGTTCTTAATAGATAGGTTAATTGAACCGACGTTCCTACGGAAGTCAATTCTATAGGGAAGCTAATGTAACAGCTTAGGTTGATTGGTTAAGAGTTGACATCAAGCAATTAAGTATATGTCAAAACACTAGAGTTCAAGTGTTCATTCACTTCCTAAACATAAATCATGATTAAGAACTCAATAATTAGTCAAGAATTCCTTGTCAAATCTTTGATTAATTTTTGAAGTAACAAATTTTAAGTAAAGTTTGAACTACAAAACATGTTTTTCGTTCTTTTCATTAAAAACCAATGAGGATTGAATAGTTATTTCATAATATTTTGGTAGCATGCACCTACGACTCAATACAAAAATGGGATATAATTCATTTGGTTTCCATGGAAAGTAGAATTACTTTTAAATCATGATATTTATATCAAATCGTCCAGATTTTCAACTTCTGGCACTTAAGATAAAAAGTGTTGTCTTTAATACAAGTTCTGTAGCTAAGTGGATAACGTGATGGCGTTTGAAGCGAACGGTACTGGGTTCGAGTCCCAGAGTGAACATCAACTCTGAGATGCAGGTACATCCAGCTGACGAGTCCCAAACAGGACGAAACGCGCGTCCTGGATTCTACTGCTAGCCACTATCCATCTTTGCATATAATGCTTGTAAATTAAGACAATATCGAGGCATACGCACAGTATGCACATATGCCAATAAGTGACTGATCAATTTCTGTCCTAAAACATCAATGGGAGCATTCAAGTAAAAGAATACTAAAACAAGTTCTGTACCGTTTGAAATCATGGGGAGGGGGCAGGACAAAACACCTAGCCTCTATTGCATGGTTTCCAACAGTTGTTTTGAGAATAATATTAGTTTATCATGAAAATGTCGTTTAATTAAACTATCATCAGGTAATTTATAATAAGTTCAATATCAAGGTTAAACGATTCTTAACGTACTCATTGGAAAACAATACAAAAATATATATAAATCTTTTCAAAACCAGTCAATTAACATAGTAGCAATAAACAGTGTATTGCATCAATGATAATACCTGCTTCGGTTTAGGCACCCCGGCAGTATCCCAACCCTCACATAAATCGGATGATTTATGTGGCGCATATCTATTCGGTGCCTCCTTATGCCAATGTAAAATATCCATATAAGTAGTATATAATGATAGTCAGGAACAGAATGTGTGGTGTGCTACTTATATTGACATAAGTACTAGATGATGTTAATCGTGAACAGAATGTCTAGCAGCAGAGAGACAAGATGATCGAACAGTAAAGAATGGAAACAGAATGCGATTTGTATGAAAATGTAAGAACAATGAAGTCTGAGTCATTTTGAGACAATTGATGGACATTTTGCATATTTACTATTTGATTGTTAGATTTTATTAACCAGTCCTGTAATTGTGTTTTAAATACATTCGATTGTCCCCACCTGTGTTCTTATTCACTACAAATTTACTTCAGTAGAAGATCGAGAAGGAAAGAACGGGAACGAAAAGTAATTGGTATGAAAATGCAGGAACAATAAAACCTGAAACGATGTATTGATATTTGCAAAAGAAACAGTCAAGTTTAAGACAATGGATTGAGATTTTGCAAATGAAGTATTTACTGTATTGTTCTCAGGTTTCAATAAGACATTCTGTAATTTTGTGCTCAAATACATTCGATTATCCCCACTTGTGTTCTTGTTCACTACAGTATTTATATATTTATCCGTGGAACCTTCTAGTATGAGATTAATCATAAATGGCATGAAACAGCGACTAATTTGTAATTAGTCAGTTGTTTTATGTTATATGTATATAGAAATGTACTAAGCTTAAAAAGCAAGACATATTCATGAGATTCAACTGATGGTTATATACATCAATTGATATTCATAACTCACTAAGTCATAATAAATAGATTCTTATTAAAATCTAAGTTAACGACGATCATTTCAAGAACTATTCGTGGAAGAATTACCTTTAATATACTTCCGAATCTCCCTATTTTAAATTCAGAAATATGAAAATATATCGTTGCGTAAAAAAAGTTTTGACAGATATTTATTAGAAATGATTTTGAAGAAAAAACAAATCTCTTTATATTTTTGTAACTTATCATGTCAGTATCAGAAGGGGTTTCGTGGATATTATAGTAATTTTAATAGGTGAAATCATGAGTTAATTGAAGCTAGACCACCTGGAAGCACTAGACGGCCGTTTTGTCTTATTGTGGAAATTTTCCGCAGTGCTAATCCACGATCCTGCCTCACGAGAACCGAACTCAGGACCTAAGAGTCTTGCGCGCGAGTGCTTAACCATTAGACTACTGAGCCGGCATCCAACGGTGTTAATGTCTAATTTCAACTAATCCATGAAAGTGATTGATAATTTTATTCATCAGAAATTTAAATACAAGATTATCCTATTGGTTCCATACATAAGCTCATAAAAAGATTTTCTGTGCCCCTACTGTTTCATTGCGTATTCTCTTGAAGTTTATATGCTTAAGAAAGGTTGTCCAATTAATATTGAGTGCTTTCAGTGTGAGAAAGCATACAAGGGGACCTTCAGTAAATTATTTTGTGTAGGTCTAAAGTAAACAATATATGTTCAACAAGTCCTTTACCCCTATTAATGAGAGAAACAGGAGAATTATTCGGTAGTATCGTGATGCACCTAAACGTAAAAACATGGGGTTGTGCTGAAAATGCACTAAGAAAAGATAGTTTTTTCAATATTTTCTGGCTCCATAGAAAACGGATACCTAAAATGTTGGTGACAGTACTGTTGAAAATCCCTACTTACGCAGTGACCCCAAAGCAAATGAAATCACAAGTCTAGAATGACAGGATTCAAAGGTATATTTGAATAATAGGTGAACGTGGAGTACTGTATGCAATCTAAGACAGGGTCATCCTACTGATTCCATATATAAGTGTATAAAACACACTGTCTTCACCGTAGCTACATGTCTCAGCTATGTACATATTACTCATGAAACGCAATCATAATAACCTATCATAATAGATATTGGCAGGAAAGAGTTTTTGATCTAAACATTTTATTTTTTGAACAATTAAGAATACAAAGTTTATAGTATCCAAACCCATGTTTTACATGAAATGAAACTTACCTAATTCAGCCGTACTCATTACTTACTACCTAAACAAAAATGATGATCATTTAACGGGATAATTTAGAAATTTCTAATCGAAAATAGTTTATTTACATCCTTTTAATATAATGCAGTTAATTTCATAACAGTTCGGTTCGAAATCTGATACTGATACACAACGTGCTACCAAACTAACCTCCTACCTCACTATTTGAATGAGAACACAAGAGTGAGAGAGAAAGTATATTGGATTATTAAATAAAATACACAAGTACTCATTTATATATACATAACTCTACTACTTAAGAAATCAATCCACTTTTTTAACCAATTAAGTGCACTTGCCCTTCAGGTCATTTCTGATTGTCAACGATTGACTTTCTCAATCGTCTACTTCTGATCGAATCACCATATCATTTTAGATGAACAGATGTTCAGCATAAAATGAACCACACTCAAAGTGAAAAGGTAGTTAATTTATCGACCACAATAAATGGAAATCGTTAACTAATATTGTGTTCATCTTAAAACATGAGTATTTACGCTTCTATCATGCATAATGTAATGTGATTTTAAGCTTAAATAAAACATCTAAACCCTAGGCATAATTCACAGAAACAAAAATATAAGCCTATTCATTGACAAAATGAGTTTTGTAGGTTTAAATACCAAACTGACTTTGGTTAGATAACCAGTAAAAATTAGGGATCAAAAGACAAGTATTCCATAGTAATACAGAACTTCTCTTAGTTAAAAACAGTGACAAGCGGAGTTCAGTCAACTCGAGGATGTGATAAATATGTGGAATATCATGGATTGATAGAAAGTACAAGTGTAAAGTATTTAATCTCAGTACAGTGATCTAAAAAAGATATGCTCAGAGAAAGGAAAGAAGATCCAGAACTTGATTCCTTGTGGGATAGTGAATGCGCACTTTTGTGGAGTACCTTTTTAGGTAAGCTAGTTGTCCAGTGTTTCTCAGTCATCAAAATTTCTCTAACTTATTCACATTATGGTGCGAATTACAAAATTCAACAATCTTCACGACCCTCTAGACTAGAAAACAGTAATTGTTGTCAAGTAAATGAAAAAAATCTTTTCTTTCTTACACTCATACCTAGTTGATTGTTGAATAACTTGACGAAGAAACTCCAGTGTGTACTGAGCATTTCCAATTTCTTGTAATATATCGCCATCTTCAACGTTTTCTTCGAGTACAGACACAGCAGGACCAATATTTTCAACCTAAAAACATGGAAATATGTAAAATTTTTGTTCCAATACGTTAAATTTAACTGGTGTAATTATTTCAAGCACCCTAGACACATAAAATGCACTAAAACACTCCAGTATTTTACTATTATGTACATGAAGAAGAATCAAAATGCCTGTCGGATTACGTATAGTCAGTCATTCGGTATCAACATAGAAGTTCGTACGTAAGTACATCAGTCTGAGTTGCCATACCGCATTAGCACACAGATACAATTGTCGATTCGAATCCCACAGTGGTAGAGGTAGTAAGAGTATAAGCAGTAACCGGAAAGATTAGGGTTTGAAGATTTTATTCAATCGGATTACGAATAAGTGGTTATTGTATTGTCTTCTTGATGCCCTACTGAATATTTAATGTTTCAGACTTGATGTATTCATTGCTTTACATATAAACTGTGAGCTTGTTTACAAATAATTCAAGATGATAATGGTGCGGATTAAAAAATTTGACTACGCAACATTTTGAATATATTGTCTTATAATTAATTTCATTGAAGGATTAATATTGGTAATATTGTGTGCTAACTGCGTCTGGAGCCATTTTAGGGTTACTGTCCGTCCTAAGCTCAGGTAGAATAGAGGGGTTGGGCATAGGGTTACAAACCCTGTCTCGTAAAAAAGAACATGGGTAGAAAAATGCTAGCTAGGTTTAAGCGTTCGAGCGTCATACCGAAAGCCCTGGGTTTCGGATACCGCGAGCGGGATCATGGATGTGCACTGCTGAGGACTCCCACAATAAGGCGAAACGGCCGTCCAGTGCTTCCAGGTTTTCAATGGTGGTCTAACATCAATTTGTTTATGATCTCAATCAAAGACTTAATAACCTCCACAACCCCATACTGATAACTAGAAAATAGTTTGTGCTGAACTATTAGACGGAACAATAACACCTGACTATATAATACAGCGAATACCGTTTTTGATCGATGGAACGGATAACTTATAAGTTTTATTGGTATAAAAAGTACGTGAAGATAATTCCAGATAGCACAAAGTACTTTAACATCGAATGAAATCTCATAACTGTAAACATTATTAAATATTATAAATCATGATATTTCAATCGGTCATACAAAAACACGGTTAAATGGAAAAATATATTTTTATTATGAGTATATGAAATATTGTTTGATCTGAACTGTGATAAGATGGTGGGTGGAAGTAGTCAACAGGAAACCCTGGACCTAGGTTTCGTGCTATTTGGCACTCGTCAGCAAGGTGTATCTGTAATCTTAAGGGGACTAATGCTCCCTGACGGATTCAACCCCGTGTCACCCAACTCCACATTTAAAGATATTACCAGCGAACTGTCTGGGCCGCGACTCACCTCCTGTAGGGCTTAGATGTATTTACAGTTGGTTGATCACTGGGATCTGACATACATGAGATTGATCATCACCCAGTGATCAATCAATCGTAAAAGATCTGAACTGTGGACAATAGACGATTCCTTACTATAACCGAAGTATTAACGTAAAATCTTGAAATGAACACGTATGGAACGACAAAGTAACTACTACATGTGTGCACAATAGACATGACGATGTCATAATAGTTTTAAGGGGCTCAGATTTCTTTATACATTCTTCTTTCGCTTTGAAGTGACAAGTTAATTTGCCACTGGCAACACCCAACTGACACTGTATAAATTCAATTAGGCCAACTGTCTTTTGCAAAGCTGAGGACACGTGGAGAAAATGTAGTGTTTTTCGTGTTCTGGTACTGTAATGGCATCAAAGAGAGAGAGAGAGAGTAGAAATTATATAACTTGCTTCACTTAATGTAAAACAATCTCAAATCTCAGAACTTATATCATCACCAAATGAATTACAATAGACGGAATCAAAGATAAATTTCAAAAACGCTCATATTTGAAGGAAGCCTAAAAAAACAACTACATTTCTCCATATAGATATATTCTCATGTAATTCTGTTCCTTATAAGTCATTAAGCTATAGATTGTTTGGGGTTATAGTTCTTTTCTTTGATTTTTAATCTCTATGAGCTGAATAAAGTGCTCATGAAGTAATCATATAAAACCTAATAGAGTATTTACAATTGATTAGCATCAAAATGAATTCTTGAAGCTGTAGTTAGTAATCATAATCGATCCAGTTCACTACGATGAGACGTTTCTAACCGGTGGGATTGTCTAAAAGTTGAATTATTTTACGAATTGAATATGGCTAGAATTTTGAATTCATGAACTTCTACTTATTATATTAATCATGATGAAATCACCATAAAAAGGTGAGTGTCACAATTCTAATCCCATTTAAGGTAATAACCAAGGATTGTTGAAGATATCTAAATGTAGTACTTTCTTATTGTTCTTCACTCAATTTCAGTTCGTGACAACAAGGATCTTGAAATGGAACTTTATAATAAGACAATTAAAGAAATGAAATGAACTATGTAGCATATAGATTAAGAGTACTTAGATCTATTCTATTTCCATACTGAATAGTCCGATGAAATTTAATCAAATCATTATTTTCACTGGGATCTCACTGAAGACAATGGTGTACGGTGGCGCAACTTCGTGGATTGGTTGAAGTTAGACATTAACACCGTTGGATGCCGGCCGGCTCAGTGGTCTAGTGGTTAAGTGCCGGCGCGCGAGGCCAGTAGGTCCTGGGTTCGAGCCCCGGGTGGTGCGGGATCGTTGATGCACACTGCTGAGGAGTCCCATACCAGGACGAGACGGCCGTCCAGTGCTTCCAGGTTTTCAATGGTGGTCTAGCTTCAAATGACTCATGATTTCAACCTGTGAATTTTCACTATTTATTAACAATACTTAATATAAAACTGTTAACTCAGTTTGTCAGATGTTTTATGTTGTGTTAGTGAAGTATTAATTCACAATAGTTGTCAAGGCTAAAACATACTTGAGTTTGTGAACAGCAGCTGCAATTCATCAGTTGTTACTATTGGTTCAAAATTTATCACTACTTATCACAAATGATGCTTCGTTTCATTCGATTCAATATACAAATTACTGTTTCTTTGAGTAAAATTCCGACAGATATATACATATATATATACAATCATCGTTATACTTCTGCCATCTAGAAAGGATTGAAAATTAGTCGACAATTAAGTACAAAATTAAAGAGTTAGGTTTAAAAAGTCTCAATGTAAAATCTGATATGGAAAGTCAATCTAGTAGTAGACGATTGAGAAAGTCAATCGTTGACAATCAGAAATGACCTGAAGGACAAGTGCACTTAATTGGCTAAAAAAGTGGATTGATTTCTTAAGTAGTAGAGTTGTGTATATATAAATGAGTATTTGTGCATGTTATTTAATAATCCAATATACTTTCTCTCTCACTCTTGTGTTCTCATTCAAGTAGTCAGGTAGGGGGTTAGTATAGTAGTATATCGTGTATCAGTATTAGATTTCGGGCACCACCCATCACAACAAACTCCCCCCCCCCTTATAATATTTGTGTTTTTTTTGTTTTTTCAAAGCTTGATCAACAGTATGTGCTTAATTTGAGAGAGTCTGATGAAAATGTCATGAAAGTTTCAAGTAGATCATTTTAATAAGTAAGTAATTTGAATCCTTGAAATCTCTTCATCCTAAATCTAATTAATGAAAGATATAATTATAAGAAATGTATCATTCAATCCATCTAAAGGGAAGACATTTAATAGTTATATATATGGTATTCCTTAATGTAAACTTTCATTCATAGATTTAACTTAAAATATAATTAGGTACCATTCAAAAATCATAGCTCAAAGCTTAGTAGAAAAACATGTAGTTGGTGAATGAATTCCATATAACGTATTCTTTTCAAATTAAAATAGCATTTTTATTCCCAAATTCATAATTTATTATGAAATAGACTTCAGTTTGTACCCATGTGGTGTGTGCTACTACTGATGTCCATAAATATAAGTAGCATGTATCGTCAAATGAAAGTGAAATAGCTGATGGCAAAAGGTTAAGAAGATTGAAGAGAAGAGAAGAGAACGAGAACAGAGAGTGATTGATGTGGAAACAAACGAGCAATGAAGTCTGAGACGATTGATTTAATGTAAGGTTCTCTGGTTTTATTAAGATTCTGTAATTTCATGTTAAAATATATTCGATTGTCCCCATTTAGTGTTCTCGTTCACTACACCAGTAAATAGTAAAATGTTGCTTCATATCTTATTACTTACAATATCCTTGAGTGAAAATGTACTTAACCTTAGATTTATCAGACAACACATCATTTAACTAAGTATAAGGAACGACAAATTATTGTAAACAACATATCTACTAAACATGGATACACTAAGAAAATGGAAAAATCATATAATGAAGTGAGATACTTGAAACTTATCACGCTATTACTTTGCTTCCTTGTTCTCTAGTCTCGTTTCCTTTCTCTTCCTCGCTTGAGAATGAAAACATTAATGTTGTAAGTAAATTATATTGACTTAATATTATACCACATGTTTAGTCTTCCTGTAAGGTTAACACTTCAGACTTCATATTGGGAAAATACTTTGATTTGAATGCTCGATAGCTTTTGGGTGGTGTCTGATGAAAAAAATATGAAAACGTCCTATAAATAGTTAGTGTCGTGATATCCATTAGATTTTAGAATGTGGCTGTATTTTGGCTATACTTTAAACTGGTTACTACAATTGAGAAATTATAACAGTTTTCTACAACAAACCTAATGCGCCATAGATGTTTATGAGTCGTCTTGTAAACATTTTATCTCACACATTATTAATAGCTTTGTCTTAAGTACTCAGTTTGGAGTATTCTAGAACTCATATCTTTTTAGGTGTAAGCCTATTTCATCATTATTAAATATCAAGCCATATCAACCTGATCATATAAACAAAATTCTGTACATACTGTCATATCCCGATGAGAATAATGAGTGGTAACTGTTTGAATCTATTTCTGGACTAACATTATACGTATATTTTTATCGTATAATTGTTAAGTAACTAACCTATTCATATTCGTGTTCCTCTTATTATGAGCTTTATTTTGACCTATGAACTATTATTCTACGAGTTACCATTCTTGAATTATGCCCAGTGTATCTATTTCTATCTCCCACATTCACATTCACATTTGGCTAAATCTTATACAAATGTTATTTTCTACTTTATGGTGTAGTCTGTTTGGTTTTGTATATAAACCCAGTATGTTTGAAATACATGATTGATATCGCAGAGGCTGAGATTGGTGTTCTGGACTTAACAGGCAGAGCTAGGTGGGAAGTCTAGAATACTCGTACGGGTTTTGTGCGTCGTTGGTTCAGTCGGTAAATCACTGTTCTTTAATTGACGGTATCATTACGTTATACATTTATAGGGGCACGAACCCACAAGTTATAACACATATTGTACTCATTTCCAGAAATATGTTATATTACTTAATCCGTGCAGTAAAACTTTATCACCTACATTCGCATTAATGACTTAGAAAATAATTAAAAAATATGAATACCTTATGCGTGTTTGATAATATAACACGATAATGTAAGTTAATTTAATGACTGTATGATTACTGTTAAACAAAAAATTGGTAACAGTATATATAGTCTAGGCACCAGATTTTCCGCGTTTTTTTCTGGTTAGCGTTTTTTTAGTTAGTTAGTTTTCTACGGGATGGAGTCGCTAACCCCATGCCCAACCCTTCTCCCTTATCCGGGCTTGAGACCGGCAGTAGCCTAAGAGGGGCTCCAGGCGGGGCGGAAATTTGAAGAACTACGAAAGCCATCATCCAGAAGATACAAGTGTTTATTAGCAGTTGTCTATGCAAAATACTTCAGATCCGTTGACCAGACACTATCAGCCATAACCTACTGTAGGAGAGAACAAACCAGATACCAGTGGAGGAAGAAACCACGAAAAAGCGCTGGAAGTGGATAGTACATACATTGAAGAAAGCACCCAACTGTGTCACAAGGCAAGCTCTCAGTTGGAATCCTGAAGGCCAAAGGAAAAGAGGAAAACCAAAGAACACATTACGTCGAGAAACGGAGACAGATATGAAAAGAATGAAAAAAAATTGGATAGAACTAGAAAAGAAGGCCCAGGACAGAGTGGGTTGGAGAATGCTAGTCGGCGGCCTATGCTCCATTGGGAGTAACAGGCGTAAGCAAGTAAGATTTTTTACGAGAAATTCAAGTACCATTTTTTCAATGTAAAGAACAGATGAACCAACATTATCCATAAATTCTATCTCTAAACCCTTATATCTGATGAGACTATATGTTTTGGACAAACTGATTGGATAATGGCTCTTGGATTTTTTTCTGCCAAGTTGATCTATATAGTTATACATAGTTTTCGAATTATAACTGATATCAGTTTGTGATAGAAATGTCAACTGTTAACAGTTCTTATGCTGAAATACTATCTCTGATCACGAGTTATATAACAATTCTGGAAAATCTCTTTCGGTCCTTTTTTAAGATTTGAGAACACAAATAATCTTTGTCATTCAATGTGAATGTATATGTTATTATATTTGTATTATACAGGCAGTTTAACCTACAGAAAACTTTATTAGGTTGATTTAATATGTAAAACTTGTTTTACACTTAGTTACATTATTGATTTCATTTATTTAAAGATGTTTAGTAGCTGACTAATAACCAAATCTAATCCCTATAATATTCACTTATCAAATACTTTTGAATCTTTAAAAAATGAAATAATTAATTCATTTTTGTATTTCACTAGTTGAAATCATGAGTCAATTAAAGCTAGACCACCATGGAAAACCTGGAAGCATTGGACGGCTGTTTCGTCCTAGTATGGAACTCCACAGCAGTTCGCAACCGCAATCACGCTCCCCGCGGGATTCGAGCCCAGCTCCTATCAGTCTCGCGTCAGGCGCATAACCAACTAAACCACTCATAGAATAATAATTAGTTCTCAGTATAGGGTTGTGGAGATTGTTAAGTTTTTGATTAAGATCATGAACAGACTGATATTAGACCACTGTTGAAAACCCAGAAGCACTGGAAGGCCATTTCGTCTTATTGTGGGAGTCCTCAGCAGTGCACATCCATGATCCCGCTCTCGGAATAAATAGTTCAATTGAATTTGTAGTGAGGTATATATGGAAAATTTGTTTTATATTTGTGTTCTTGTTATAGAAACTTCCTTAGTGGAAAAGCTTACTAACAATTTAATTAGTGAATGAATATTTAGTGGATTGGTTAAAGTAAGACATTAACACCTTTGGATGCCGGCTTAGTTGTCTAGTGATTAAGCGCTCGTGCGCGGGACTGATAGGTCGTGAGTTTGAATCTCGCGAGTTAGATGCGCACTGCTGAGGAATCCAACAATAGGATTAAACGGTCGTCCAATGCTTCCATGTTTTCCATGGTGATCTAGCTTCAATTGACTCATGATCTAAACCATTAGAATGAATATTTTTTGAGATTATTTTAGATCACTGAAAGTAATCTTGATAAAGGGTTTGATAAACAAAGTATGAGATCAAAAAGAAAACGGAATTTAATTAAAGTTACGGCGAGACTGTAATTTATAGATAAACCAATCAGGAATAGGAAAACAGGTCTCGGATTTGGGCGTGAAATTCACTCGTCCATTTGATTAAATAGAGTCTTAGCATTATAGCTTATGTCAGTTCGTAATGAAAACCCTGAATCTAATTTCTGAACTTAACCATCAACTTTAAATCATAATTCATATTCTTCACACAGGTTTATAACCCTCATTTAGTCCTAGATATTAGGTGGACACTCTTTAGGTCAGTCTGGCGTCGTCCAATGGTCGTCCATAAATTATAGTCTCACCAAAGTTACTTATTATTGAAGGTAGAAGTAGTAGTAATTTAATTTAAGAAAATTATAACCATACTAATCGGTTGACTGGTGACTTACAAATTATACTATTTAATTTTTAATCAGTAAGTTGAAAGT